AGGAGAGAGAGAGAGAGAGAGAGAGAGAGAGAGAGAGAGAGAGAGAGAGTATGCATGTACAGATCTGCCTTAGGCGGTAGACATAGAATCAGTGAACAAAGCTGAAGTCAGATGGAGATTAGAATGATCGTGAAAAAAAAACCCCCGGAAAAATAATAATATAAAGAAATCAACACAAGACAATGAAAAAAACCCAATCTAAAATAAATTTCACAACCTTTGAATCTATTGTGGATAACGCTGGCATTCAATGCTGGACATTTCCTGGACATTTCAAACGCTATCTTCAAAGACAAAAAAGCAAGATCTTACAAGGACGTGCATCTAGAATGTTAATAGGTTAACAAGAGCAGGACATGTTTTTTAATTTTAGTAGAGGTTTTACGGCACTCGCAACTGCATAAGGTCATATGAGCAACAGAATATTAGAGGTGTTACAAGAGAGTAACAAACATAAAAAAGTAGAAGGGGAGAAAAGGACGATAGATGTTTCATAGGAAAGAAGAAGCAAACCATACCACAGCACCTGCCAACCACCCACTAGGACATGTTTACCTGGTTGAGTACAGCTAAAGAAGCCAGTTGAAACTCACAGAAATCAGATAAAAAGCAAGGTGGCAGAAAAGCAGCAGTAGAAGAATCCCATTCATAGAAAGCATCCTCCAAAAAGAGCCAAGCACAAATGTACACATGTATATAAATAACACAAACTGTGCACTTAGTCCAAAACACAATGCAGCTTGAATTACCTAAGATTGCCACCTATTGTCGCCCAAAAAAATTTCCGTCTTCCACAATGCTATCATAACGGTTTTTAAAGCCGGGAGGGGGGATTGGAAAAGATCATTTGTACTGGTGACTGTCTTCCATACTCGTGGCCTTTAGAGCAGGTCCGACTGAGCACCACTGGATCATTTTCAAAAGCAGTGGTGATATTTCACACCCACACCACTCTGACCATCTGCACAGCTCAGGGCTCACATGGATGGGGTAACAGCTACCTCCAAGCAGCATCCCTTCCCGGCTTCCTCGAATGGGGGCATGGTAGGAAGGTTGGAGCCAATGGAACCAAACTCGGGAGTTTTATTTCAAATCAGGGCTGAATAAGTAAAGCGTTATCTGCCTTGGACAGGTCAAAAACCTCTGAAGGAAAGGAATTTCTCTTTCCGTTTCCAGATTGAGCAGGTTTCTATTCTATTGAGGTAATTAAGGAGGAATTTATCAAGAGGGGAGTGGGGAGATTGCGTAGTGATTGGTTTCTGTCTTGGACAGGTTTCCTATTAAGGTAGGTTCGACTGTACTGTTATAAACCCAACACGAAAAAGTATTCCAGCTAAATCAATTGTAAATATGTCACAACTTTAAACGATCAAGACACAATTCATCAGTAATTTGAATAAGACATTATCAACATAATAAATAAGTACAACCAGCAGACTACTCAAGTGGGCCCAGTAATCCCTTCCATATTTATGAAGATAGAAAGTATGATGGTCATACTGTAACTATATATACGTGAAAATAAAAGACAAAACTCTATTGGTCTCAACAGGATGATCTGTCTTCATGTCATGCACAATAATCAATATAACAAAGTAACTTTAGAACATTTAACCATAACATGCCACTGAAAATCATTGCTGTGAAGCCTCTCCCACCCTCCCTTACAGCTGAGCCGTCCCCCTCACAAATGATTATTTTTCTATTCAATTTCACAAACACTCTTGGAACCCATTGGAACCAAATGTTCACAAGCCAGTTAACCCCTCAGGCCCCTCATACACACATACAAAGGCAGCGTTCAAAACTCTCAAGGCCATCACCATAAAACTTTATACGACAACAGACATTTCAAAATATTTAGTTTAAAAAATTTTTAAAAAGAATGTATGCAACAAATGCCTCATACCATACAGTAAAAGAAAACATTCTTTTAACCGATCTAGTAACGTAATATCCATGCCTTCAACAGTTCAACTTAGTTTTAAATTGAGTTAAAGAAATAGCAGAATCTAACCCTAACCACAAAAAAAGAGTCAGAGACATAAGATAAAAAATATCTTTCAGTTGTTTATCAAGCCCTTTTAAAGGTAATAAAATTGACAAACAGAATAAAAAGCAAGTGATTATTTCGCCAGAAGGCACACAACACCACTCAGATCAACTCACCTGGTGTACTGTTATCAATATTGCGGCAAATGCAAATGTCCCAGCAATCCCCTGGGCAGCAGCTGTCTGCAGGAAGATGAGGGGTTGGGTGACATTGTAAGTCGCCGGGGTGCTGTTGGTTTCAGCACTAGTGACTGGAACCACGGTAGAAGGGCTGGATCCTGCAGGGGCTGTGGGTGCCGTTGGCAACGGTGACAGCGTGGTGTTACTCATTATGACCTAATGGCAGGACTCCATTATCATGTCATAGCTGTGTGAAAATTATCTGTAGATGCAAAAGATACTGAGTCAATACTTCACAGAAAGCACATCAGAAAGTTACTTGCAAGAGTGAGGAGTCAAACTGGGTGCAATGGCACTGCCTTCTCTTCTCATCTAAAGTCACCTGAATCTTCCAATGAGTTTTCTCTGAGCCACATATATATATTTTCACATGATTTACAATAGGTAGTGCAAACATAGCAAACAACCGCAATCAAAAATGTGTTTTTTCACATCATTTACGAAAAGTCACGCATAAAAGATGGAAACGATATTCAAGAAAAAAATTAGACTTATGAAAATTGATCAGGGTCCCTCACTGGATAAAAAAAACATTGAAGAGCTCCAATTCCATCGGAGTACTTGGCAGCACCTGCTGCTAACATTCCTATCAAACTTTCAAACCCTCTTTAATTAAACCCCACGTATACAATCACCTATTTTTATTTATGTCATAACACTGAAATATGTTTAAATCAGTAAGCTTTTGAAAGGTAGTAATCAAATTTAATTATGTATTGTCCTGGTCTGAGTACAAAACAAAGCTAACCAATGGTCTACATCAGCACTTAAAGCTAGCTACATTCACAGCCCCACTTAGTTGCAGGTATGTTTCACATTAGTCTTCAGAAGTGACAAAATATCAAGGAATATGGATTCAGATGGGAGGTGGAAATGCATATTCGCTGAAAGCAGGACATCTTTCCATAGTTATAAAGTACAAAAAATGACATAGGCTGAACAGTGAAAAGTTTTACTGTTATCGAAATAAACCCCAGAATCTCTGCATCTGTAACAAACACAATGCAGTCCAATTGACGAAGGGGAAAACATTTCAAAGCAATAAATCTCTCAGTTCCCCCAAGATAAATTACAATTGTATTGGACGTCTACAAAGTTGATACTAAACAAGTAGGGGAATAAAAATTCACTCCCTTCAGAAAACTCAATAATGAGTCTCCATTTGAAAAATTCTCATTTATAATCTATTTAACATTGAGCCATGAGGAATAAAACAGTCTAATAGTTTCAATCAATTTACCATCACAGAGTCAGCCATTATCATTTGATGATTAAAGTGAACAGTTTGTTGATGCTGACAGACAAATAGGGATAAAAATTTTGATTGGCATAGAGGTTTGATTCATGTCTATACTAGCACCAAATAAAGCCAGAGTTTGAATGGAACGTGATCCAAACCTTTCTCTTTAGTCCAGTTAACAATAGAGGCAAGCAGAGTGTTTATTTTGGCTGATCACCCAGGAGAAAATCGTATCATGACACAAATAAATTACAAGCACACTACACTACAATGCAGCCAAGGCCAAGGGTAGACGTGTCAAGTACACAGAGAAGAAAAAAAAGGAACGGTGGGCAAAAAAGAAAGGGAAATAAAGAAGGTAGGCATGCAGTTGCAACAGGTGGTTCTTTCCCAGATAGACTCGGGACCTCAGCCTTTTCAGTGAGAGCACTGGTGAAATTTTGAAACAAATTGTCAAATAACGCTGTTTCTGATGAAATGTTGAATCTAACAGTTATAGGCATTAGTGTGAGAAATTTCTTATAATTTGACCACCCAGTAAGCCCTGTTGCTGTAAAAGCCCAATTGTTCAATAAT